GGAATCTCCCATACGTGACGTCACACGCTTAAGTTAGGGACTCAGACTTGTGATAATGCGCTTCATGCCAGAGGGGGTAAAGTGGTGTTGCATACAATTTCTACTTTTGTAAGTTAAATAGAATGGAAGTTATCTCCCCTATAAACACGAAATCAACTTTTATTTAGTTGGTTTTTTTTTTCATATGTATGAAGTGGACTGTTTGTGTCTTTATATCCTGATGTGTTGAAATGTTGGGTTAATTTGGTTGATATCTTGATGTGTTGAAACGTTAGGTTAGTTTAGTTGATATCTTCATGTGTTGAAACTTGGATTAATTTAGGTTGATCACTTTATATATTGAAACATAAAATGTGTTTGCTATCGTGAAACAATGTGCTACATCTGGGTGTTGCTTGTGTTTGTTTGTTTGTGCTATGCTGGGCTGGGCTGGCTGTATAATCAATACATTTATATCAGGCCTGTGGTTATTTATTGATGGGGTTTAGTGTGTAGCTGATATCTGGTTGATACATTTATTAGTTAACAGTTGATAAACGCCTATTTATCGTTTAGTTCATTGCGTTGTTATTTAGCTTTTGACAGGTTAACCACTGAGGTATCAAGAGCTTAACTCTTGAGCTATTGATAAGTCAGTCTTTGATCTTTTGGTAAATTTTAAGTTTGAGCTGTTAAGTTTTGTGCTGTTGATAACTTACTATTTAGAAGTTGATAGCTTTGACTGGTTATTGAGCTGTTGATAACTTCATCATTGAACTTGTTATTAAGTTGTTGATAATTCTACCATCAGGCAATCATTCAATTGCTGTTGACACAATCATTATTGTTGATAACTTTATTACCTAGTGTTGATAACTTCAATACCTAGTGTTAACTCCATTACCTAGTGTTGATAACTCCATTACCTAGTGTTGATACCTTCATTACCGAGTTGTTGATAAGTAAACGACTGAGCCTATACACCCACCTTTACCTAGCCCCTACACCGATCACCTACACAGAACAGGTGTGACTTTACGACAACACATCCCCAGGCATAGAAAGCACTCTCAAATGTGCAGTGATACCCACTCATACATTCCAGCGTAGAGCCTCTTCTATTGATATGGCACGCCCGTCTAAGTGAAAACCCGAACTGGGCCGAGGAACGTCACTGACACGTCAGGCCTGTTGACATGACATGACAGTGTGCGCCACGAGAGGTCTTATTTTAGGATGTGTCTCGTGCTATGTTTAGACGTGCTGGGCATTCGTTGAAGACATCTGTTTTAAGACTTATCAAACACTATTTGAATGAAGACATCTGTTTTAAGACTTACCAAAACACTATTTGAATGAAGATATTTTTAATACAGGCAACTCTCACCTCCTCTGGCTTTTTAAGTACAAACATTATTTAGGGTAAATTTGGACCCAAAATATGCGTTTTTTAAGTTTTAGACCAAAAAATAATGTTTTTAAGTGAGACATTATTAAAGTTACTTCTGTTTTCTACATCATCTCTAAACTAGATTGATAGGCCTATTTTTTGCTTACGTTAAATCACATTCACATGTTGATACAGATTTTCATTAAATCACATTCACACGTTGATACAGATTTTCATTAAATCACATTCACACGTTGATGCAGATTTTGATTAAATCACATTCACAAGGTGATACATATTTTCATTAAATCACATTCACACGTTGAATAAATCACATTCACACGTTGATGCAGATTCTGATTAAATCACATTCACAAGGTGATACATATTTTCATTAAATCACATTCACACGTTGAATAAAACACATTCACACGTTGATACAGATTTCTCCATCCAGCCAAAACAGTTAAAACAAAATGTGTAGTAGACAAACTTGGCATGACAAAAATAGCGTGTAATATTTGACAAGTTGGGTCATCAGTTTGTGGAGGGCCCACCACCTCGCGTGTTGCTAGCATGGACTAGTCTAGACCCTCACTAGAGCTGGTCCCTCCTTGCTGGACACGGATTATCTTAAGCTGTAGGACAGTTAGCCAACTGGTTTAAGTTAGGTTTATCAAAAGCTGTTCGGATATTCTTTTTGTCGTGGTTAGCTAAGGATATCGGCATCTTATCTTCGTGGTTTAAGTAATTTTTAGCATGGTTGGTTAAGTTTGTATAACATTCACTAAAGCCATTTGGGAATAGTTTTCGTCGGTGAAAGATTATCTAAAGCTGTAGGCCTGATATTGTTGTGGTTTACGGAAGGTTATCTAAAACTGTAGGCCTGATATTGCTGTGGTTTACGAAAGATTATCTAAAGCTATTGGACTGATATTTCTGTGGTTTAAGTTACATTTAGCATTCACCAAAGCCGTTCCGATATCGTTTTTGTCGTGTTAGAGACAGATTATCTAAATCTGTAGAGCTAGCTGTTGCCGTTTTCGTTTTAGAACTAGGTAAAAGCAGGATACCAGCACTGACTAAAGCAACTTGCTTTTTTTAGCGTGGTTATTGTAATGAATTAATCACTTAATTTTAGACTTGCTGAAGCCACGTTTAACGTTTACTGGGGCTGTTCTGCTGTTTTAGACATTATAAAGACTTATGTAACACTTATCAAAGGTGTTCAGCTGTTACAGTGTCATTAGCTAAAATGGTGTTGACACATAGAATCGTGTTTTGAGTTTTATCTTTCTTTTATCCTTTACTTTGTGATTGTTAATGATGTTGATCCAATTATTTCGGTATTTTATAAGATTGTTGGTGATGTTGATCAAATTATTTCGGTATTTTAACACGTTTTTCTTAACTCAGCTTCGCGTTTGTGGATTTGTTTGTTTGTTGTTAAAATTGACATCGAAAATTAGCCCACTTCTGATTGCTCTACAGATCTGAAATTTGGCATACAGGCTACTTTCGCCTAACAATTTCAGATGCAATCATAAAAACTAGCAATTAGAGACCGTAATTAGCTTAATTTAATTACGCCCCAAGGACCATAAAATTGAGGACATGATTTCTAAAGATACCGACAAGACTGGAGGCTTATAGACACAGTTACTTCGGCCCCAATCGATGTGAGAGCGCTGGCCGTGATCGTATAGTGGTTAGTACTTCGCGTTGTGGCCGCGACAACCCAGGTTCGAATCCTGGTCGCTCAAGATTTTTTTAGTCCGTGTATTTATAAACACTTAGTCAAGTCATACTTAATCAAGTCATTAGATAAAGTAGAAAATAAACTATATAAACAACTTTTTTAAAAACCACGTTTTTCATGTGTAGCAACGGACTAAAAAGGAGAAAATAAAATACTTAAAAAAAACTTTTTAAAAAAACACGTTTTTCTTGTGGACTAAAAAGTAGAAAATAAATTTTTCTTTTGTGCTTCCTCGAGCTGTGCAGGTTCTTGTGATGACTGACAAAAAACGTGGGTCGGGCAGATGGGTCGGGAAATTTGATGGTGAACGTACCCACGTTTTTTGTCAGTCATCACAAGAACCTGCACAGCTCGAGGAAGCACAAAAGAAAAATTTATTTTCTACTTTTTAGTCCACAAGAAAAACGTGGTTTTTTAAAAAGTTTTTTTTAAGTATTTTATTATAAGTTTGTTAATGATATTGATTTAATTATTTTGGTATTTGACTATTCTAAAGTTCTGGAACATTGTGTTATATGATTGCTCAGAGGGATTTGAATGTATTGTTGGTTGTTGTTTTTCCTGCGGCCCATCCTAAAGCTATGTTGTGATATTGTATCTGATAGGTAACAAAAGCTGATACATGCAGCAAACACGGTCTATGTTCTATTCGTGTGTCGTTACTCCAACTTCAATAATAGTACAGTGGTTACTTCAATATTACTGTGGTTACTTTAATATTATCGTAGTCACATCAATATTACCGTAGTTACTTCAATATTACCGTGGTTATTTCAGCACTATTAGCTTGTCGTTACTCATGTAATATGACCTTAGTTACCTCAGTAATACTACCCTGCCCTTGTAAAACAAATTCTGCTAAAGTATGTGGTGTAAAAATGACCTGCATAATTCATATCACGCGTAGGTGGGGAAGGAATGTTTGTTAGGTGCGCTTTGACAGTTACGGACATACTTATATACTTCATTTGTTTGCTGTTTTTTTACAGCAACATTTACTGTCATCTGTGTAGGTGTTCACGGTATTAAATCGGTGAATTGATCACTTCAAAAGACAGAGGGAAAAAAATACTAGCATGTAGCCTGAGAAATGTTTTGTCAGTGTAAACAGTGTAGGCTAATGTGACAAACAGCCTTGAACTTGAGGCCCATCAATCATCGTTACTCTAGCCTTCACGCACCGTATCGTCATACATCTATAAATAACTCAGTGTTGACAAACGCCGGACTGGCGAAATCAACAATAATTAGGCACACGGGATGTGATCAAAATATCTCACCGTCTGTGACGTCACAAGGATAATTGATACCTCACAGAAAAATGATTAAATAGTTGATATCTCACCGACTATGACGTCACACAGATAATTGAGCGTTAAGGAAGTGACCGGAATAATTGAGTGACACACACGTGACGTAACATCCAGGGAGACCTTGAATCTTAGTAGGGTGGGGTGCGGGGGGAAGGGTGTAAGGAGGGGGGAGGGGTCGGTGATGTCCGAATTAGTTTGAAATCTAAGATTTCGTTAGCGAAGACGTGTTATATACGCAAGACTAAAGTTAGCTAAGATTTGTGTATGTAAAGTTAGCTATGTTTTGTGTATGTAAAGTTAGCTAAGATTTGTGTATGTGGCTAGGGATAGTGTTAGTGTAAGTGGCCAGGTTTAGTTTACCATTGTTGTTGAATACTGTCGCAATCTGGAAATATATCGTCTCATGGAATTGCTAATCGCTTCAATATATTGTGTCATATAAAGATACCGTTTTGGAAAATTCGCTTTTTATATTGTTACCTAAATCTGTTAAAATAAGTGTACTATGCTATAAGTCTATCGTTTCTATAATGTGCAATTGATTTGTTTACATGTAAAGTGCTAAAGATTTTAACTGTGACTCTAACAAAAAACTAGCCTCTGGCTCTAAAACCAAACTGTCATTGGTGTCTATTAATAACATTGTGACCTTGACACTGTGTCATCCTGACCTATACCTTTTAAAAAGTCACTAAACACCCAAGGAGATCAAACCGTCTGGTCAACCCAAAGCCAAGATGTCTCAGTCGTTCATCCGCTCGAGCGCCACCCTCCCGGGGAACACCTCCGTCACGGAAAAGCGCACCGTCATCACCACCTCCAGTGGACTGGCCGGTGGATTAAACGGCGGTGGATTCGACGACGACAGCGTGTACTACAAGTCCAGCATCACCCCCCGACACACCTCCATCACCCGCACCTCCATGCCCACCTCCCCCATCCGCACCTCCACCCGCACGGTGGAATACAGCTCCGGGTACCACCCCATCGGCACCGCCACCGTGGCCGTGACGGGCGTCAACAACTTCAAGAGCAGCCGGGAGCGCGAGAAGAAGGACATGCAGGACCTGAACGAGAGGTTCGCCAACTACATCGAGAAGGTTCGCTTCCTCGAGGCCCAGAACAAGAAGCTGGCCTCGGAGCTGGAGCAGCTGCGCTCCCACTGGGGCAAGGAGACGAACGTGGTCAAGCAGATGTACAACACGGAGCTGGACGAGGCGAGGAAGCTGATTGACGAGACGAACAAGGAGAAGGCGCGGCTCCAGCTCCGGGTGGGGCAGCTGGAGGAGCAGTTAGATGACAACATGAGACAGTAAGTCTGGCCGAGAAACATTTCTCTTTTCCAAATGACAACCTCATGTTTTTTTTTCCTTCACAATATGGTTATACCATTTAAATAAAACTCCATAAGTGTTTAAATTGATGAACCTATTGTCTAAATAACCCCCCCCCCTCTTTTTTTGGTTCTCCAAATACCATTCCCCTACCTTTTTTTGTTCTATTGTTGTATAATTAGTGTGCTGTGTAGTGAAGTGTCGCTTCATCAATGTCTTGACACCACCTGTCACAGAAAAACTCCAGTATTAAAGTAAAAAAAAGCCCAAGTTATATTTTAGTGTCAAGCAATCCATGGCTAACTGGGTGTCAATGACCTAGCTTTACTGCAGCTGGTGGTGACACTATTCACTCAACCTACCCTTCATCTCACACAATCACACACCACACACATATGTGCTTCGTTCAACCACTCACTCAACCGACTTCAACCACCTGCATGTTCATACCTCTCTCTCAGACCTCACTGGAGTGTCTTCTTTGTTCTTTGGTTGCTTAACCAACCATCAAACATATAAACCTCCAACATATCAACCAACCCTCCAATATATCAGTCAACCACCCCCCCCCTTTCCTTCAACCAACCCTCCTATATATTAGTCAACCACCCCCCCCCCCTTCCTTCAACCAACCCTCCAATATATCAGTCAACCACCCCCCCCCTTCCTTCAACCAACCCTCCAATATATCAGTCAACCACCCCCCTTCCGTCAACCAACCCTCCAATATATCAGTCAACCACCCCCCTTCCGTCAACCAACCCTCTAATACTGCTCGCAGTGGTTGGCCGCCAGCTCATGCCCCTAGAGATCTTAGAGTGTCCTAATCGTCCCAGTTGACCACCCACTCGACCCAGTTGACCACCCACTCGGTCCAGTTGACCACCCACTCGGCCCAGTTGTCCAGCTACTCAACAGTTGACCACCCACTTAGATTGAGGTCCAAGTGTGCTGGTCAACTCTCATGGGGTCGTCTGAGTCATGGGGTTGCCCCCCCCCCCCCCCTTCGTATCTTTTTCGAACCACTGGATAACTCACCAAACCATATACATGAGATCCTTGTCATTAAGCAGGTAATTGACTAGTACACTGAGTAGGTTACCATTCAACCTGTCACTAACCACACTACTTAGTAGGTCTTCAACCATTCTAGTAGGTCACCCATCACTACACCTAGTAAGTCACCCATCAGTAGGTCACCAAACACTATACCCAATAGGTCACCCATCAGTAGGTCACCCATCAGTAGGTCACCCATCAGTAGGTCACCCATCAGTAGGTCACCCATCAAGTTCCCAACCCTACACTGAGTAGGTTACCCATCAATTGGTCACCCATCAGTAGGTCATCTACCACTACACTGAACAGGTCACCAACTATTTCCACCAACACACTGGCCAGATCGCCGTCTTGGTCATTTCCTTTTCGCTCCCCTAAAAATTGTTTTACTGTCTCTTTCTTGTCAGCTTGTCGTAACACGTCAAAGTGCGCATGTCCAAACTTCCTCTCCATATCCGCTTACAAACAAGATGGCGGCCTAAGAAAATTCCGATACAGCGATAGCAGTGAGGCTGGCTGGGAGGTGGGGAGGGGGAGGGGGGCGCGTCTGAGAATTCGCCGATCGATAGAGTCTGGTGAGCAAGGTCATGAAGGTCACGGAGCCAGAAACCTGGGTTGTTAGCCAGGAGATGTATGTACCGGCTTTTAATGTGACAGGATGATTGTGTGGGGAGGGGAGGATTGTGTGGGGAGAGGTGGATTGTGTGTGGGGGAGGGTCGTATTGTGTGGGAGAGGGGTGGATTGTGTGTGTGGGAGGGTGGATTGTGTGATGGGAGGGGTGGATTGTGTGGGGGAAGGGGTTTATTGTGTGTGGAGGGGGAGGTCGTATTGTGTGGGGAGGGGTAGATTGTGTGTGGGGGAGGGTCGTATTGTGTGGGAGAGGGGTGGATTGTGTGTGGGAGAGGGGTGGATTGTGTGTGGGGGAGGGTCGTATTGTGTGGGAGAGGGGTGGATTGTGTGTGGGGGAGGGTCGTATTGTGTGGGAGAGGAGTTTATTGTGGGGAGGGTTGTATTGTGTGTGGGGGAGGGGTTTATTGTGGGGAGTAGCGTGTTGTGTGGGGGGAAGTGTTCATAGTTGGTGGAAATGGATTAAGTAAAGATGTTTTAGGTGTGGGGTAATAACTTAGGGTGGGGGGGGTGATATCTTATTGCAATTTTTGTGTGGGGCTAGTAATATGAGAAGGTGGGTTACATTGTGAGTGTCTAAGTGTGTGTGTGTGGATGGTGTCTGTCATATTGTGGGCGGTGTGTGTGTAAAATAACTTGATTGGATCTACGGGCTGATGAAGGCACCCTCATAACACATTTTATAATCTTGAAACAATTCATCGACTTTAGGCTGGAATTACTTGCCTTATGAATCATGATCAACATATTGTGGGCTGTTGTTTTCTTTTTATTTCCTCTAAATATTTTTTTTTAAATCGCATTTGCTAAATGTTTAACTACTTTAACGCATTTCTTTCCAATGAAACATAGCTTTTATTATTTATATATATATATATATATATATATATATATATATATATATATATATATATATATATATATACATCCATTACAATAAAAGAATAATGTCCTTTTTGAAGTGTCACTAGCATGGGTCGTGTCGTCCCAATACAGGCCCACACCTACCACCAACATTAGCAGCGTGAAGCGCTCGCAGCGCGGGGGGAAAAAGGAAACACGTTTGACAATATTAACTAGAAACTTTATTTATTTATTTAAACATTGCAGCACATAACCTGATTAACGGGGGCAATAAGTAACAACAAAAAACCTCTGAACGCAATTAGCGCTCTCGGCTTTTTGCGCGGACTGCATTGATTTCCGCGGTCATAATTCTATTTGCCTGAACTTTGACCCCGACAATTTCTCCGAGCTATTATGGGCGCTTACGTTTCCAAGTAGGCGAGAGAACTCGGAATTCCTTGTGCCGTAATCATAGATTATACAAACCAGACACGGTGATGTCCCTTGTGTCCGTCACAATGGTTCGTGTTGTGTTGCATCAGTTTCTACACAACTGTACCACACGTACACCAAGTACAAGTAAAATAGTGGCATGTATAGTCAAGAGAATTCATTGTACAAGTAAAATAGTGGCTTGCATAGTCAAGAGAATTCATTATACAAGTAAAATAGTGGCATGTATCGTCTACAGAATTCATATAGTTCTAGATCATTCTATAGTCTATGTGCCAAAGTATCGTTATGAATTATAAGTGGGGGTTATTTGCAGGGGCGTAGCTAAAATGTGGTGTGACGTTGCGCATGCGTGCTGTGTGTCAGGAGTGATCGAAATAAGCGGAAGAGTTGGGAGGGGGGGTCTTGTCATTGAGTTTATTTTTTATTTTAAGTAGCGATGATAGATTATAATATGGATAGTGTACATTTGTGTTGTGTGGTTTTAAGTAGAAACAGGTTACATGGTACAGCATGACCGTCGCCGTGAAGTGTGGGTCAAGTAATGTCGTGTGGGTGAAGGGAGTGGGTGTAAGACTGTGTGGGTTAAAGGCGTGGGAAAGTGTGTGTCATAGAAAATAGTGGGGGTTAAGGGAGGTGGTGTGCGACTGTGTGTGTAAATGGAGATGTTGGGGAGGGGGTAGTGGGTTAAGTTAGATGTGTTTGAGGAAAAGTGTTTGGTCTAAAGAACATTGTGTTGGACTGTGTAGGTTAATAAAGTTGGTGTGTGAGGTAGAAAGTGTGGATTAAGGAAAATGGTGTGAGACTGTGTGGGGAAGGAAATTATGTGTGGGGAAGAAAGTGTGGGTTAAGGAAGGTGGTGTGGGGCTGTGTGTAAGGAAATTGTGTGTGTGGAAGATTGTGTGGGTCAAGAAAGATGGTGCGAACCAGAGCAGATATATGGACCACAGTAGAATTCGCTGGTCGAGAAAGTTGACGAGGTTTGAGTAACGGCTTGGGGTTAGGGCAGATTTGGTTCAAATATGTGACATCAGTTTCCGCCTTCACACTCCAGCCGGGCATCCACCCCTACTTGTCGTAGATATTTGACATGAGGTGGGTGTCAAAAACGACATCAGCTCTTGCTTTTATGACTCCCAAATTTTGACATTGTAAGTATCAAATTTGGCACACTTCACACAGCTGTATTGTAGTATTGAGACAGCTGGAGTTTTTTTTTTCGGTGGGGGTGGGGGGATACAGGAATAGGTTCCAATATCTCCTAACACCCCCCCCCCCCCCCCCGCCCCTTCCAATCCCTACACCCCAACCCTCATCCCTACACCCCCAACCCTCACTCCTACATCCCAAGCCTCACCCCTACGCCCCAACCCTCGCTCCTACACCCCAACCCTCATTCATACACCCCAAACCTCATCCCTACACCCCAACCCTCACTACTACACCCCAACCCTCGCTCCTACACCCCAACCCTCATCCCTACATCCCAACCCTCATCCAACGATCTCCCTCCCTCCCCCCCCCCACCCCACCCCTCACACACAAACCCACACACATACTTCCCTATCGATGAAAGTACTGATGATCCCGTCTGATTGGACATTAGGAAAACATTCAGTTGTCTCTTAAAAGCTCTAATGCTATTACCCGACAGCCCCTGAGCTGGCTGATGTTGTCGCTGTCAGTCGGATTGGTGGCGCTGTGTGGTTCTTGGTACACTGGCGTTAAGACGGGTGTCACGTGATGGCTGATACAGTGTGGGGAATGACGTGAGCGTCTCTAGTGTGGGGCATGATGTGAGGGTCTCTAGTGTGGGTCATGATATGGTGGGTTTATTGTGTGGGTCATGACATAGTGGCACATGACTTGGGGGGTCTCACTTGTGGGTAATGAGATAGTGGGTCTAATGTGTGGGTCATGGCGTATGATTCATGACGTGGTGGGTCATAATGTGTGAGTTACGACTTGTGGGTCGCAGTAGTTTTGAACCTG